CAAAAAAGAACTGAAAGATAGTTTATACAAATTAATGGCCTTATTCATAAAAAATAATGTAGCTTTATAAAAGGTTTATTAATTGAAAAATGTATGAAAACGTCAATTTATAAAGCTCTTTAAACCTACTTTATTTTTTATGAATAAGGCCATAAGTCAACGAATTGTTCCATAAATGTACAGTTCACCCTAATGATAAACGATCTGGAAGTTAAAATGATCCAGATTTCGTCTGGCTTAGAATTAAAAATCGTGGTTCTCACTGAAAGCATTTTTCATCCCAACTCGCAGACGCCTCCCTCATACTTAACTTTAAGTTCTCAAAACTTTTGTTCTCTAGCAGACTTTTGTTCTTATTTGATCCTCCTTGAAAACGTTCTCGATACTTTCGTTCTCATTGGAAACGTTCATGAAGGTTTCGTTCTCATTTTGGTTTTCTTGAGAGATTGGTTCGCATTTTGTTCTTAACGGAAACGTTCCCGAACCGTTTGTGTTCATTTTGTTCTCGTACATACTGTTGTAAATAAGTTTGTTCGTGGTTTTTTGTGGTGTTCCGGTTTTTTTTTATATATTTTTTTTGTTTTTGGTTTTTTAGTTTTTTGTAACATATATTTTTTGTAGAATTTTTAAACTTTCGTTGATTTAATGTTTGTTCTTTTATCTTTACCTTTTTTTTTTGTTTTTTTAGTTTCTTTGTTACTTTTTTGCTCTTGTGTTATTTTTGTTGTTGTTTTTTATTTATTTTTTTATTATTATTTTATTTTTTTAATTGTTTTTTTTTTTAGATATTTTTAATTGTTTTATTTTTATTTTTTAATTTGCTTTATTTTTATTTTTTAATTTGTTTTAATTTTTTTATAGTTTTTTATATTTCTTATTTTTTAAATATTTTTTGTTGTTTTTTATGTTTTTTTTTGTTTTTTTTTTTGTTTTTTTTTTTAGTTTTTTATATTTTCTTGTTGATTTTTTACTGCGTATATAGTTCTTTTAATATTTGTATGCTTTTTTGAACTTTTCTTTATTAAAAATCCTTTAGTTAGGTATTAGTTTTTTGCTCAATTAACCATTCGGGCCAAATCCTTTAAAAACGAACGAATTTTACTTCCCAATTATTTTATAAACCAATTAGAATGCTGAAAGAATGTATCTTGAAACACTTAACCAATCGATTTAAATTGAGTGGTTAAGTTTTTTTCAGAATAAATTCTTTCGTCATTCTAATCGATACAAGATCGATTCACGTTCAAGTCATCTTTAAATCAAACCGAAATCTTAGTGGTTAGAGATGCACACTGCCACCCTGCATAGTGGGGTCCTGCTTCCTTTTCTTGTATAATAGCGGGCTCTCCTCTGCAGGCAATAACAAGCCTCCGAGTGTATTTCTGCCATAAAAAGCCTTCTTAAAAAATACCAACCCCCTTTCGAAGGCGGCGAATAACTCTAGCTTCCACCATTTACTTTATATTCGACCGTCTCAACAGCAACCGATTTGAAATTATGAAACCATGTTTGTGGTTCACGTAAGTTTGCGATATAAAAGTTGAATAGAAAAATGTTTACCATTTAGAAGATGGAGCCAGGCTAATAGTGCATACAATATGGCATCTCTAATTTTACTACGTTCCACCATTTTCATTTTATGTTTCTACCAAATAATTTGTGTAATATTTAATCTTCCTACCGAATCTAATCCAATTCCCCAATGTCTGCCATCTACTCATATTTGTCTAGCCAATCATTCAAGCATTTAATGTGAGTAGTTAATGTTCTTGCTTCTTTCTTCTTTCCACTGCACATTAAGCAAAATCCCATAATTTCACTAAATCATCAACTGTGGCAGACAATCAGCGATGCTGCAACAACGCCATTATTGTAATACGTTTTATTCCTATATTTTTTTGTATTCATATATGTATTGTGATTGTTATCCGTTTTTTCATCCAACAATTAATATTATACTATTTTTTATGACGCTTTCATTTTGCTATCTTCGAACTATCACAAGTCCGTGCTAAAATGTTATACGCTCCTGAATTCATCACGGTGGATATGGTTTTCGCAGGCATGCAAAGGAAAACCAAATAATTGTATTACATGTGCATATACATACATACATATAACACACATACATATATCTTCTCTATTCAGACTCTGCACGAGTCACTTGCCGAACTAATGTCTGGAAGAACAAATAGCATTAAAAATGCATAGACTTTGTATGTGTATGTATTTACTACTTAATGCCGCTTGTATATAGATGCTGAAATATTTTTGGCCACTCTGCTTCGCCTGCTAATGCAAAAATCAAATTAAATCAGGTAAACGTATTAGGATATGTGTATTTGTGCATTCGATGGAAAACGGGAAAGGCAAACACATTAACAAATACACCTAAATGAAAGCAATATGTATGTATATTTGTAAAATTTATACAAAAGTATGTAGGCATGTAACCTTTATGCACCACCCCGTTGTTTGTGGCAACTGCAAAATTCGGTTCGGCAAATGTCTGACTGACGTCGGTACACTACAAGTTGGGCACTTCCTGCAAATACACGTGCAAAAATCCTTATAAGTGTTGGAAAGGACCTTGCATGCTTGTTTTGAGTTTCTTCAGCTGAATTTCATTGCCTGCAATTGCAATGAGTGATATATTGGCGTTGTGATTTTGATTCTCGCAGCAGCTTGAATACTTAGTATTAATATTTTCGTGAATAATAGTACGGCGCAAAAAAAAAAAAAATGGTTGCATGTACTGTTTATGTATGTCTTGTAGGAGAGATGGTAGAATAGATCTAACAAATAATTTTGGCATTAGTAGAATCTCAAATATGTACACCGTCAAAATCAAAACTGATTATCGGGATGTTGGGTCAAAAACTGGTTATGAATTGGACAGTTTTCAACGGATTCTCATAACATCGTGCGACAGTAAATTTTACACACGAAAAAAAATCAATATGTTCATGTTTACAACGATACCAATTTTTAAAAAATCAGTTCAAAATTGTTTGAAATATAAGGTTTTAAATTTTTTGAAGACCCGATTTTTGACTCCTTGTATCACCTATAATATAAGTTTGCACCATAAAAGTTATAAACCATTTAAATAGTACTACGTCAAACAATTTTTGTCATCTACTACATTAGTGTAGGTGCATTCGCACAGTAAGTGCCTGATGGTCTCATGATGGTGTCATTATGGGGCACTCCCGACCGCTGTGGTTCTCTCAAGAGTATGCGGCTAGTAAGTATTCCCTTGCCTAACGATATTTTTCTGCTTTTCAAGCATAGAAGCTCTCGCGATTCGCTCATGTCCAACTCTGGCCACATGGTTGTGTTATATGTTCTTGATTTTTCCGCCTTGTACACGCTTCTTTTAGGATATATTCTCTAATCATGAGCTTGGTTTTCGTTATAAAAAAACACAATCCCCGAGTCTGTTGTCAAGTTTGGAGCCATCCGTACAAGTTAAAAAAAGAAAGGGACTTATCAAACGTTTGAACACAAGTGAAGTTCATTGGAACCTGAACTGAAGTAATTTCGCAAAGGAAAAAATATATCTGCATTGGGGTACTAGAAATCGCCACGCTAAATTTCTATCGCTAAGAAGCTCTAAATGATCAAGGCTTTTGATTTTAAAATACAATGCTTACGATTTTATATTGAACCCCTTCCGATTTCGCGTCAAATATTTTTAGGCTCCTACGTTTCATTTAGAGATTTAGAGAGAGTGATAGAAATTAAGCATATCGATTTTTATAAACCCACTAATGGTTTAGTTTTTTGGTCTCGAATGTCGAAGAGTCGCATATAAAAATAATAGAATGGAGGTCTATACGTACTTTCACAAGGTTTTACATGCAGAGGCTGGAAGAAACATTTACTGCGTCATTAACGTTCAACACCATTTCTAAATTTTTCTATTATTCTATATTTATTTTTCTGCTGACCCAACTTGCTTGAGTAAACTTCTCTAACGTATGTACATATGTATGTCTTTATGTAGCAAACAAGCTGAATCAGTGTGACGCCGCTTTAGTCACGACTCACTCGCACGTTTTATTGGTTTACCTCGTTGGTTGGGTGACAGCAACCTTTGGCAAAGGATTAGGTGTTTGAAATCAAATTGGCAACCGGATGCTGCTTTGCCATTGGCAACCAATTTTTTATTTTTTTTTTGGTTTGTTTGTTTGCTCTTTATTGCCTTCATTGTTTGATTTTGCATTACCAAGTGATCACTGCTTTATAAAGCGTTTTTTTTTTCGAAACTAAATTTGCATTTTTTGTGTGGTATGCAACCTTACGTCTGCTTTTAAATTCTTTCCGCTTTATTTATTTAGTCTCTTTTTTCATGTAATTAATTTTTGTTTGCTCTTCAAAACTCCTATGTGCATACATACATATTAACATAAATACATAGTAAGTATGTACTCGTAAGTATTGTATGCACTTAAGTTCGTTGCAATGTCGGGGACCTATCGTTCATTATTCCTCACTTCCCTTACATACATATTTATTTATCACACATTTTCTGTTTATATTCTTTTATATACATATCTGATGCTTTTTGTGTATGTAGAGCGCTTGTTTGTCGGCGTTTCTATTTGATTTCAGATGCTCGTAATTTTCGCACACATTTTCTGCTTTCTATCCGTAGGCCATATTTTCGTATTCCTGTTCGTTTAGCATTATCCGTATGTATGCTTTGTCAATATTCATTGTGCTGCTCGGCAGAAGGACATTGCTTCCTTGCCGACTCTTGTTTCACTCATTTCGCATATTCCATTGAGTCGTTGCTCGACCGTGCTCCGCTTGGTTTCGTTTCCACTTTGCTTGCTTCGCTCGGTAATTGTGTATGCGTGTGTGTGTGTGTGTCGTTTTCCTGTTTGCATATCCGCCGCCTCCTTTAAACTGTTACATTGCGCGTCTCCGCTCTGATCCTGTGTTTCGTTCTACCGTCGTTCACTCGATTTGGGTTTCGACCGCTTCAGCAACCCCAGCTCGTTTTAGTTTACTCGCTGATCTCAAACACGCCAGAGCCTTACAGACCAGTACTCGTAGTGGGCTTCTAGGCTGCGGGCGTTTGGAACAAAAGAAATAATAAGAATACAAGCGACCGAAATGAAAAAGCACATTCAATTGTGAAAAAAGTGTATGGCAAAAAAATTTGCATAAAAAGAATTTCTAATTGAATTATATGTGGAGTTACGGGCTGTAACGAAAAAAAAGTGAAGTTCAATCAAAGTTTCGCATTTTTAGTGCGCATAAATTTTTACTTGCTATATCTATTAGTATATAGTATGCATGTATGCATTCTGCTTAAAAATCTGTGTATGACTAAATCAAGCTCAATCTTTTTGGGCGACGTTTTGCGCATTTGAAAAAGGTTTGCGGTTTTTACAACTTCAGGAACTACAAGAAAATGTTTTAAAAAATTGTATAACAGTTTTGAAACTTAAAAACAGCAACGTTGCAGCTTTGGAATATCTCGAAAGTGCAAACTCTTGGTGTGTCGTGCAATAGTCTCGCCGAAAACTAAAGCGAAAATTGCAATTTGTGAAAAAAATTAAAAATAAAAATCAACAAAAGGGAAAATTGCACGCAATGCGCTGCACTTGAGCTTCCTCCCACACAGTCATTGGCGCCTACTCAAATCAAAGCGTTGTGCATCATACACACAAAACAATACCAAACCCTACCGTTTGCTGGCGCATACATATCATGCAAAAGTTTTAGTGAAGAAAGCAAAAAAAAAAACAAATTTTTGAAAAAAATGTGCAATAAGCAGCAACAATTGCGCTATTAATATCGGTAGTCGCAGCCAACCAGGCAGCAAGTTTTTAGTTGCAAACAATCACAGCAAGGATTTTTCGCGAAAGCCAGAGCGCGCAGTACTGCAAAAGGATTAACGGAAAAGATTTGCGCAAATTGGAATTGAGTCGATCGCAGCACAAAATTTGCAATATTCGACGCCTGTGAATATGCATTAAAAGTGAGTTTCATAATAAACATTATTTTCTTAGTACTTATATGTATGTTTGAAATCCATGGAGGAAAAATTTGTAAATGAAATAGTTTTTTTTTTGGTGCTGGCCAGATACACGCTCGTCAAAATGTAACTAAAGGTGAAAACCCTACTGGAAAAAAAAATAAAAAAAATTACACCGCCTGGTCTCTGAAATAATCCTGTCATAAATATTCTAAACAAATAAGTTCGCATTTCCAAAAATAAATTACACCCATCCCCACGGAGACGACTTCCTTCTCCCTACTGACATATGTACTACGTATGTCCCATGTGTGTATATTTTAAGTATCCGCCTCATTGGCCCTCTATTAGAACTCGACAACTTGCTTCTCGTTCAGCTCACAGCCCAAATAGCGTTCTCTTTCTCATTGTATAACTCTCCTTTTCTTGCGTATATCTCTATGCTCTCATTTTTTACGTCCGCTCTCGCACACATTGCTATATACACCTATGGCCAAAATGATAGAAACACGACATACATTTTTTTTCCTTGATTAATGCTTGTTAATTTTTTATCAAAGTGTTGCTTATTATTACATGACATATACATAATATACAAATAAAAAATTTCAAAATTTATGCGAAAATTACAAAAGTTTAACAAATTTGCATGTTCAAACATTTTAAAGGGTATTTTTAGAAAAATTCTTGGTATGCAGTTTTATAGCCCATAAAATTTTAGTAAAGTTAAAGTGCAAGTTTAAAGTATCTAAAAAATCCTATTGATTTTTGATTTATTTTCCTGATAGTGTTGTGAAGTTTCTTCCATATAAAAAAAAATAGACGAGCATACTTTGTTTGGAAGAAAACACTGCTAACCAAAAAAAAACTAAAAAATAAAGAATTGCATAAAAGCAACGGGTTATCAAACAGCATTCCAAAGATTATTCTAAAAATTTGTATTAAAAAGTTTGAAGTTTTGATGAAACTTTGTTGAGCATTTTTAATTTTCCTATAAAATTTGATATTTGAATTTTTAAGTTATTTATTTTAAAATGAGCTAAACTTTTATAAAAAATTTACGATCATTAAACAAATAGATAGCTCAAACTGTTCAAAAATAGTTTCCGACCGAGCGTTCTGTTTCGGTTACCGAACGGTTTGGCCATGAAGTTAGGGTTCGGATTCGGTTCGAATTTTGGCCATAATTGGCCGAGAAATTTGGAGACAATTTTTACAAACTATGACTTCTATTTATTTATTTTTTAATGCCTCTGTAGCGTTTCTGGATTTTAATTTTTTTTTTACTTAATTTTTATGGCAATTTTTCATTTTTTCTTGTCGCTTTTAATTACTGCCCGAAGTTTTGATGCCCGATGCAACTTTTGGCTAGTTAAATTTTCAAAATTGTATTGATTAAAGCAATTTGAAAACTTTACTTTTACATTCTTCGCATTGCAGTGAATAAAAGTACCGATTTTTCCATGCTATGTAATTTTTACTCTAAAAAGTTCGGGTTCAGTTCGGTTTCGGCCGAACTTTAAGAAAAAAGTCGAGTGTTTGGTTCGGGTTCGGATTCGGCCAAAAATTAGAGTTCTGTCGGACACTAACCAAAATGTGATCTTATTATTTTGACGACTGTTGTATTCATGCTGCTTCCTCTCTCGTTTGTTTTATTCTCCAATTCCATTTCTTCACATATCCTTTTTTAAATCTATTCACATCCTTCATGAGTATATTTCTTTTTCAAGTAGTGTTTCTGCCGCCACTCGCCATTTCATATTCCCTCTTTGCTTTATTCGTTCTTGGGCTGGCTCTTCTAAGTACAACACTTTTTGTAACGAATTGTTGGCATTGTATCCTTGTTGTTCTTACTGCTGACTGCTGTGAGCACGAGATGACTATGAGCGTGAGCAATTGGGAGCATGATGACGATTCGATATTCACGATGCTTTGAAAACTTGCCAGTTTTTTTTTATTATTATTGAATTTCATCTGAACCTTCTATGCTGGTTAGCATTGTTCTCGTTGTCGTAACTTTTGTTGTAGTTGTTGCCTCCAGTGTTATTGTTGTTTTTGCTCGCCAATCTCATTGGGTGGTTGGTACAGTTTTCTTGGTAAGCTATTTGTCGTTCAATCTGCCTCCTCTATTCATAATTGTCTTCTGCAAACTGCAGTTGCTTGCGCGCGTATGTGTGCGTGTGAATGGCCTGCAAGCAGGTCCAACTTATCAAAAAGGATATGCTTTATGCTTTTATTTTTGATGGCAGTTTGATCAATTTCAGTGCAAAAAAAAAAAAAAAATGTGCGCATTTTTTAATTTTGTGCATTTTTAAGTTTTGGTTAACTGGCAAACGGGAACTTATTCACATAGACTATGAAATCAAAACTCTGTAAATTCTGTGTATCCAAAAACGTTGAAATTATGAAATCTTTTTTGGTTACCCCTCTTCGTTTCTTTTCAAATGTTTAAATTAAATGGAGCGTTGAGAGAGTCATGCAAATCAGATAAAATAATTTAATATATGTACATATACGTACATATGTATGTAGTTGAAAGTTCCAGGGCTCTTAAAGAATCCTTAGTTCTATCTTTGATCATTGGGCCGAAAGTCCAAAAATCTAATATATTTTGAACTTCGAACATACAGATAAAAGTCTAGTTAGTCTAGACTTAACTTAATTTACGTAAGAAATCGTCAATGATTACTCAACACGTCAAATTAGCCAGAAGCGAAAATATTTTGTTTTTGTATTTATCTTTTCAGCTGATGATCACTTTGCCGCCTATAAGCCACATCAAAAAATTCCTAAACAAAAATATATTGCGTTGGCTAATATATTAGGTTAGGTTACGTAAATTAAGTCTAGACTCACTGGGACTTAAAACTAATCAAACGAATATTTCGAAATTTTCGAACATAAAAATATTGCTAAAAATTGTGGTTTTTGCTTGTTTTTAAAATTATGGAATGCATAGCCAGAGTATTTCGTATGCGATTTGCGCTTTTATCTTGTGTCTCAATAATTTATACTACATTATAGAGATGGGCGCTGGATATCGGGACCTGCGGAACCCACGTTACTGATTTCAAATTGGCCGGGATAGGCGGTATTGGGAAGGTCTTAAAATTTTGTGGACGGAACGAGACCAAAATCCTTTCCCGACACTCCCGATAAAACCTCAAGCTCAGAAAATCTTCCTTAGAAACGATGTATGAAATATGCACTTTTTTATGTTTTATTGAGACGAACACGAACAGTAAAGCAAAACAAAATAATCTTAGCTCTAACCCAGCGAACAATTACATAGGAACTTGGACCAAACCAAACAAAAACAAAATAATCGGAAGATGGCAAATCTCTCATTATATTTTATTAACATGTAAAATTAATTTGAAAGACATGTGAATTTTTCTTAGTGATAGATTTCGGGCCCACAGAACCCGCGGTATTTAGTCCCGTGCCCATCTCTACTACATTACCGCCTATTCTTCTTCTTCTGTATTGGCCACTCTTGTCTCCCATATAACGGTAGTTTTCTTTAGGCGGAAAATTAGAATATTATAAATTTTTGGGAAATAGGTGTAGCCAGGCCCACTTATGATTACATGTGTATATCTCGGTAACCGCTTCATCAATTTCTCCTAAATTTGGCACAGTTGTAGATCCTGAAAAAACATACCAACCATCTGAAAAGTTTTAAATTCGGACAATAACCTCGCCCTCTTCCCATATAACAGTAAATAAGAGAAGTACGAAATCTTCTATAGCTCAGTAAATACTGTAGCTAATTTAATCAACAAAGATGTTTGCAATAATTCTTTAGCAAAAATACGTTTATAACAAAATTTTGAAAAATGGGCGTGGCACCGCCTACTTGTAACTATGAATATACGTTTATGTTTATCTCATTAAGTCTAACTGAACTTACTAGCGAAGATGTGTGAAATAGGGATAAAACCACCCCGCTTACCATGTGACGGTAGTTTTCGGAAGCTGAAACAACTTTTTTACTCGTTCAACAAGCTTTGTTACTTTTTCATGTTGTTTATTTTTAAGTTCCTTTACCTTTCATTTAGAGAATTTTGGTGACGAAAATTCATCAAAAAAAGTGTTTTTTTTTCAAAAGCGGTTGCCATCGGCAGACAATGGCAAACCGCCGAGTGTACTTTCCGAGCTTTCTTCGGATATGGGGTAAAAATGTAGATCTCTCCATTTGTGTCACAGCATCAAGGAGCAGAACACGAACTGGAGGAGAAGCTCTCGCAAACACGTAGAAATCGTTCAAGCGCCAAACATAAATTTGTTGGAATCAAATATGAAATATTTTTCATTCCCAAATAACCTGGGATATAATTTTAAAATTAGTCAGGGTTTTCCCTTAGACGGCTGTTTCCAGCTCTCGAGAAAAACGAAAAATTCATATAAAATGACGCACAAGAAAGAAATTTTCTTCTATCAAAATTTCTGAAATCAGTTTGCAGCTCTCAAGAAAAAATTTCTCCTATATTTTTTTTTCAAGCAACAGAAATAATGAAAAATATTTCTGCATTCTAAGCTTAAACTGAAAAAGCCTAGAAAACTTCGAACAACTCAAAAAATTCATTGAGTGGTCAAGATTTTTATGAAATGAAAAAAAAAACGATTTTCGATATTCGAAAAATCAAGATTAAAAAAAACGCCTATAAATATCAAAAAAAATAAAAATTAAAAAATAAAAATAAATAAAAAACCACGGGCGAAACCGGTTTGGAAAACCCGAGTCAATCGCCCTTGTTGAAACGGTAATTTGTTGATATAATTTTTGGCTACAAAATATAGAATATACTGATAATAATTGAACACGTTTTCGAAATATTTCGAGAATCATAAGTTTCTCAAATATTTTTTTATTCGAATACCCTAAGCCGGCTAAAAATAAAGTAAAAAATAAACATTCAGCGCATGCACTTTTGCTAAGTTTTTACCCCAGCTTTTTCTTCAAATTGTGGTCGGCGCCTTAATAAATAAACAAAGTATTTTAAAACGGTCAAATTGCTTCCTTTCCTTGCGTTCAGATACTTTTCAACAATTGAATTAATTTTTCTACTTTTAAATTATATTTTTTTCGCGCATAAATATTGCTTCAAGCAAAATTTTCAAACCTTGTGGCTGGCTGGTTGCACAATACAGATTAACTTAAATTGTTTACTGAAAATCTTTAGTTAGCTGCCGATTGCGAGTTAACTTGTCAGTGTACTTAAGTCGAACAGTTTTTGAACGAAAAACAATTAAAATTTAGCAGCTAGACTTTATATGAAAAGAAGAAATCAAGTATTTAGCTATCGCATACCTGATTACACCTTTTGTATTTTATGAAATAATTCCTCGTATTTAGGAATTCTCCAAAATGTATAGTAGTACACTCGTGAATTCCTCGCAAATTAGTAACCGTTGAACGATTAAGATTATGCCAGCTGACTGGTTTGATGGCTGCATCAATCATTATTAACATAGAAAATAATAGCCGACATGGAACTCTCCTGGTAGGCACTCAAGAAAGAAAGCGGCTGCAGCCAGCTATGTTCGTAGGTAGACGAAGGACTGGGCTGCCATGCACGCCAATAGAGCCTGCTTGGCTGAACTAAAATGTACACATCGTGAGGCACTACGGGCCGTCGTCGAGGAGTGCTTCGCTCTAGTGCGCAGACAATCGCAACACGAATAACAATAACAAATCATGAAAGTACTAACCAGCGTTGCCGCTTTGGTAATTTTTAACCAAAATTGGTAACTTTTTTCTTTATTTATCAAGTTTGGTAATTTGGTAATTTATTTTTCAGTTTGGTAACTTTTTCTATTCGGACTTATGTACATGTCAAATAGGTCAATATAGGATCTGATTCCACATTAGGAAGTGGTCCGTAAGCGTTTCCTTTTATATAAATAACGAGTAATCCCGAAAGTTTCGCAAGACGAAAAGTTGATCCAGCGTTCCTTGGCTGCTAGAATGGTGTGTTCTTTAACAAATCCACCGTGTCCTTTCCTGAAAGATTTTGGGTGGTCCTACCATTCCTTGTCAGTTCGTCAGCTTTTCATTTATCATAATTTTTCCGGCGTACCCGGCAATCATATATATGAATAGAGAATTTTTTTGGTTAAAGGTGTTTCACGTTTTTTCCATACAAAGTATGTCGACAATTTTCTTTTATATGGAGGACACTGCCAGCAAAAAAATTGCCAAAAATCAACGGAATTTTTTAGCCGCTTGAAACTTGCACTTCTTCAGACTAGAATTGAATGTGCTACAAAACTGCATACCAGAATTTTTTCTAAAGATTCTGATTAAAAAGTTTGAAATTTGGGTGAAAAATTGCAAAATTTTTATAATTTTTATACAAAGTTTAAAATCTGAATTTATATGGTGTTTGTTGTATAGCCAGCTAGGCTTTTATAAAAAAATAATAAACATTAAATAAACAAAAGACAAATAGCCAAAACTGGTCAAAATATCGCACTCCTATTATTTTGTGGACAACTGTGTGTACAGGCATAAGCCCTAACTGCCAAAATAACGTAAGCGACATTTTTTCAAATTTTGTTTTTGATGCAGAAAGGCATCTAGATGCTCTAGGGATATTTCTGCATAAAAAGAAAATAAAAATAAAAAATAAGTTGAGTGATTTTTTGTTGAATTTGGTAACTTTTTCAGGTGATTTTGGTAAACAATAAAAAGATTTTGTGGCAACACTGGTACTAACACACCGGTGCAGAACTCATTGGATGAATAATGGTCGGCGAAGGCAACGACACGGTTGGCGGTGGCTTGCAGCTGCTGCTATTATTTTTGGCGATTTTGGTTTTACTTTTTCGACAGTCGAAATACTGCGATGCGATTAGGGCAATGCGGTGCACAAATGTGAAGTGCTCTCCTTTTTCGACAAGAATGTGAATGCGCGCGTGTGTGTGTGTGTGTGTGTGTGTGTGCATGTATTTGGTGTGTCCTTTTTGTAACTGTATTTGGGATGTAGTCCTCGTTTTTATTTCTTTTGTTGCTTCTGTCATAGCTGATTTTCCAGCTGCATACCTACCTAGTATATACAGTATATACATATCTACATACATACATAAGTCATGCACTTGATAAGGTTTTTCCATTTTCAAACAACGAACAGCCAGCGATTCGAGTGAATTGTTGTGTTTTGTTTTTTTTCGTATGCTAGTTGCTATTGCTTCTACAATTTATGTAGGTACTCGTATTTGTGTGTGTGTTTTGAAGTGCGCCTGACCCAGTGTGCATGTGCGCACGGTATGCCCACTTCGTTGGCTTCTTTTACCAATATTTTGAAACAAACTTGTAAGGCTGATTCATATACATACATACATATATAAAATGCGAACAAACGGTTTGACGTTGAAAAAGGTGCCGAAAAAGAAATGTTTTCCTTACCTTTTTCTCTTACCATTTTTCTATTGCAGCTCTTTAAATAGATCAAAACATAACAAAATAACCGTTTTTATAACGGTTATAGCACTTGTTCGAAAAGTATTGCCCTAAGTTCAAACGCAACGCAGCGAAAACAAAATGTCCTCCTCCAATACAGATGTGCCCCGTATTATGGTCTTTCGACCAACTTGGGAAGAGTTCAAAAATTTTCCCAAATACGTGGCCTTCATGGAATCTCAGGGCGCACACAAAGCTGGTTTGGCGAAAGTGGTGCCACCACCAGAATGGGTACCACGTCGAAGTGGTTATGAGGATTTGGATGCGCTCAAAATTACTATACCGGCGCCGATTTGTCAGGTTGTCACCGGCAAACAGGGTCTCTACCAACAAATCAATATACAAAAGAAGCCGCTCACAGTGAAGCAATTCAGTGAGCTAGCATCCACGGAGCGCTATCAAACGCCCAAACATTTTGATTATGAAGATCTCGAGCGTAAATATTGGAAAAATATTACGTATGTGGCGCCGATCTATGGTGCGGATGTTAGTGGTAGCATCACAGATACGGATCAGGATGTAAGTATGCTTAAAAAATTAATAATAATTTGGATCTTCTTATCAACTCATACACAAATGTATGTCACTCACTTATACTCCAAAGAGCTGGAATATAAATCGCCTTGGCACAATTCTCGACTTTGTCAACGAAGATTATGGCATACAAATTGATGGTGTGAATACAGCGTATTTATATTTTGGCATGTGGAAGACCACATTCGCCTGGCATACTGAAGATATGGATCTCTATTCAATAAACTATTTGCACTTTGGCGCACCGAAAACGTGGTATGTCGTGCCACCCGAACACGGTCGCAAATTGGAGAAGGTCGCGAATCAATACTTTCCAGCGAGCTATCAAAATTGCAATGCTTATTTACGGCATAAAATGACATTGATAAGCCCGCAAGTGTTGAAGCAGCACGATGTGCCAGTGAGTAAAGTAAGTGATTTCGCGTGAGATTTTGTTTTTGGTAAAAAACTGGCTTAACTGGAGAAAGGGTGAAAGTGAAAAATTTCATATGTTAAAAAAGTATTTTACTTGAAATATTGATGGAAGTGAAAAAATTTAGATGAATTCAATAATAAAACTAAAATAACCTAAATTCTTAAATTTCCGGTTTACTAGAATCTGAGATATCCAAATTTCCATAAGCTCTAAATGTACTGTTTCGGTAATTCCCTTAAACTGGAAAAAGTGAAAACATTAAAAATATTTTCTATAAATTTTGATAGTACAATAACATTTTCATGTCTTTCCAGGATTTTCATAGTTAGAAGGAAAATTTTGCTTACATTCGGAATAAGTACATTTCAAACTTTTTTCGTTTATGTGAATATGTATGAAACAACTTAAAATACATATAATCCCGAAATATATCCAATTTCGAATATAAAAAGAATTAAAAATTTTTTCGAACATTCAATTATACTAATTTTTTTTTGCGAAAATAATTGCACAATATGTAAAACTGGNGTATTTTACTTGAAATATTGATGGAAGTGAAAAAATTTAGATGAATTCAAAAATAAAACTAAAATAACCTAAATTCTTAAATTTCCGGTTTACTAGAATCTGACATATCCAAATTTCCATAAGCTCTAAATGTGCTGTTTCGGTAATTCCCTTAAACTGGAAAAAGTGAAAACATTAAAAATATTTTCTATAAATTTTGATAGTACAATAACATTTTCGTGTCTTTCCAGGACTTTCATAGTTAGAAGGAAATTTTTGCTTACATTCGGAATAAGTACATTTCAAACCTTTTTCGTTTATGTGAATATGTATGAAACAACTTAAAATACATATAATCCCGAAATATATCCAATTTCGAATATAAAAAGAATTACGAATTTTTTCGAACATTCAATTATACTAATTTTTTTTTTGCGAATTAATTGCACAATATTTAAAACTCATAAACACAATTGCTAAAACGAATTTTCCCAATTAACCTAAGTTCGAAAATTTTCGTATAACTGCTTAAAATTATTTCGAACGTCGAAAAATATTTGAAGCTTAATTCGTTCTTATTTAGAATATATCAACTTAAATTAACAAAAGAAAAATGCTTGTGAACGCTAATTCGAAAGTTTTCGAACATACAAAAATTTCAATATTCTATGCGAAAATATTTGAACAATTTCTGAGAAACGATATCCACAATTGTGAAAACGAACGCAAATTACGAATAAATAGAAGTTCGAAAAATGTCGAACATACAAATACATACGTGAATAGTTGAAGAATAAGTGAAATATGATATCCACAANTAAACACAATTGCTAAAACGAATTTTCCCAATTAACCTAAGTTCGAAAATTTTCGTATAACTGCTTAAAATTATTTCGAACGTCGAAAAATATTTGAAACTTAATTCGTTCTTATTTAGAATACATCAACTTAAATTAACAAAAGAAAAATGCTTGTGAACGCTAATTCGAAAATTTTCGAACATACAAAAATGTCAATATTCTATGCGAAAATATTTGAAAAATTTCTGGGAAACGATATCCACAATTGTGAAAACGAACGCAAATTACGAATAAATAGAAGTTCGAAAAATGTCGAACATACAAATACATACGTGAATAGTTGAAGAATAAGTGAAATATGATATCCACAATTGCCAATAAGTAAATTTAATACCTGCATAGTTGCAAACATAACACAAATTTACAATACATTTTAACAAGACGCTTCCCTTGCTCCAGTTACGTATGCCGTTTTCTATCGAAAAATACATTTATATGTAACTAAGTAAAAAAGAATATACCCATTCTATACACATCCAACTTCATATATGTATGTACAGATAACACAAGAGGCTGGTGAGATAATGATCACATTTCCTTTCGGCTATCATGCGGGCTTCAATCATGGTTTCAATTGTGCCGAATCAACGAATTTTGCCATGGAACGATGGATAGAATATGGAAAACGTGCCGTTCAATGTACCTGCAGGTACGAATTCGCCCACACGCATGCATACATACATAAATACATAAATGAAGTACATAAAAATATAATTAAAAAAAAAAAAATATTTTCCATACAGCAACGACATGGTTAAGATCTCCATGGATACATTTGTGAAACGCTTCCAGCCCGAACGCTATCAGGCGTGGTTGGAGGGCAACGATGTTGGCAGACATCCCGAAGATCCGCCTAGTGTTATAACCGCCGCACCATTGCCCTCACATGTAGATGTTATTTGCAATAAGAAGTAAGTGTATCAGACGCTCATCAAGGCGCATTTCGTGCTTTCGTTCCCTTGCTGTTGGCGCTTTCTAACATTTTTCTCTCTTTTTCAACAACAATCACTGCCAATCGCGGCCCTCAGTTATGGGGCTGACAATTTACCTATGCACGTATTACAAAGAATGAAGAAACAATGCAATCCGACAAAGAAGAAGTCCTTCAAGGAGCGTAATCCAGATTTGAATTTAGAAGAGATCCAACAGAATCCTAATATACCCGATGAAGTTAAGGCTGTGCTAAAAGAGAGTGTACTAACACTGGAAGCTGAGGACGAGGAGCCAGCCATAATCGGCGATGGCGAAGCTGAGGTGTTGAGTCAATTAAGCCCAGCCAATTTGAAAACGAAAAAGGAATTGTTAGACTACATCGATGATGGTACAGGTGGGTGCCATAACTACATATACAATGGCATACAGTTTTTTATATTATTATTTTTTCCCCATAATTATTTCTATTTAGACGAAGACGAGGAGGAGGAGTTCCGTAAACGTCGTCATAAGCGCAAATATCATTCCGACTATGATGACGATTGGTTTGCCAGCAAGAGGCGTGCAAATTCGCGCAATAGCAGCAAAGGTCGCAGTCCGCGCAATAGCAATAAGGATGATCGGTCCATATCCCCGGCGTCATCATCATCGTCATCGTCGCGCGCACGCCGTCAACCATGCACGACGCCCGGCAAAACGCCGCGTAAGACGCCAAATCGTAGAAAGAAAGACAATGGTGCTGCATCCGCCGCAACAACACCTAAAGCCGCTGCAACAACGCCTAAAGCCGCTGCAACTACGCCTAAAGCCGCTGCAACGCCGCCTAAGGGCACTGCAACAACGCCTAAAGCCACCGTAGCAGCGGCTTCTGCAATAGCAGCAGCACCAGAAGCAGTAGCGAACCTGCTAAAGACCGCTGCTGCAGTTTCACAGNAAAGACAATGGTGCTGCATCCGCCGCAACAACACCTAAAGCCGCTGCAACAACGCCTAAAGCCGCTGCAACTACGCCTAAAGCCGCTGCAACGCCGCCTAAGGGCACTGCAACAACGCCTAAAGCCACCGTAGCAGCGGCTTCTGCAGTAGCAGCAGCACCAGAAGCAGTAGCGAACCTGCTAAAGACCGCTGCTGCAGTTTCACAAGCACTGCGCAGTGGGCGAAGTAATGGTATTAATGGCGTCGGCGATGGCAATAGCAACGGCGATGGCGATGGTGATGGCGGCAGCGTGGGCGTGGGCGTCAGTGTCATTGGCAACATCTGCACCAGTGACAACATCAGCGAGAGTTCACCTACGAGTACAACTACTATCAATGAAACGGCAGCTGATGAGGCGCCATCTGTGGCCGTACNAGCACTGCGCAGTGGGCGAAGTAATGGTATTAATGGCGTCGGCGATGGCAATAGCAACGGCGATGGCGATGGTGATGGCGGCAGCGTGGGCGTGGGCGTCAGTGTCATTGGCAACATCTGCACCAGTGACAACATCAGCGAGAGTTCACCTACGAGTACAACTACTATCAATGAAACGGCAGCTGATGAGGCGCCATCTGTGGCCGTACCTGTGGCAGCCGTAGTAGCTGCTGCTGATGAGGCGCCATCTGTGGCCGTACCCGTGGCAGCCGTAGTAGCTGCTGCTGATGCGGCGGGAGGTGAGGCAATTAGCGAGCTAAAGGAGCATACAATATTTATCTCACCTGCAAATGGCTACAGCAGCAAATGAACAAATTCCATCTCTCTCCCATTAAAATGACACAAATCATGCTTTTGTTTTTAACTGCTTTTTATGACTACAATCACATTTATCTATATTTATTGCTTTTTTTTTAATTTTAACAAGCATACATACATACTAGCTAACAANTGCTTTTGTTTTTAACTGCTTTTTATGACTACAATCACATTTATCTATATATTGCTTTTTTTTTAATTTTAACAAGCATACATACATACTAGCTAACAAACATACATACATACATGCGAACAAGGCAAAAAATGATGCGAACGAAACCAGGATATTTGCGCATTTTCGGCTGTATTACAACAAACGCGGCCGAGCATGCGCAACTATTTTTTAATGCAATTTTTTGAAGTCACCACATGCATATGCAGCTTTTCACAACATTTTATTAATTTATTTTTTAATACATTTTATTATATTTTAATGTTTATTTTATATGAGCAATTTTAGAAAATTCATTCTTTATTTTATCTAACGTTTTATCATTTCAAAATAATGTGTACGCTGTAAATATACATACATACGAGCCTTACACATACATACATACACACGAGTGAAATCATATATGAAGAAATTTAATGCCATTATATTAAAATATTTGCAAATGACGCTAGTTCAAAGGCAATTGCGCCAGAAAAAAAGAAGATGAAGAAAGCATATTTTTTATAATTATGAGAAGTTTCCCGTTTCTCTGTTTTGTATCCTATTTTCATTTTTCTGCTTTTATTTTTTTTACATTATCCTAATGGTTTATTAATTTTTTTGGAAACATAATTTTCCACTTTATGATTTTNCGTTTCTCTGTTTTGTATCCTATTTTCATTTTTCTGCTTTTATTTTTTTTTTACATTATCCTAATGGGTTATTAATTTTTTTGGAAACATAATTTTCCACTTTATGATTTTTTTAAGTGATCTCCAATCGAACATATGATTCTCATTTTTTTTTTTGTTGGGTCGCCCACATTTCCTTATAACTCTATAATTCTTAGCAAATTTAGTATGTACTACATATATGTTTGTATCTGCTGTGCATTGTAGCGCGATTGTGTGTTGCGCGCATATGTAGATTTTTCNTTTTTTTTTTTGGGTCGCCCACACTTCCTTATAACTCTATAATTCTTAGCAAATTTAGAATGTACTACATATATGTTTGTATCTGCTGTGCATTGTAGCGCGATTGTGCGCATATGTAGATTTTTTTTTGTAGAACTGATTTGATGATGAATTTGTCAACTTTCTAATTTGTTGATCTCATATGCTCGTCGGAAAAATATACTTTAAGTGTAAGCGAAAACCTTGTTGTTTGGTCTTTTTCTTTCCTATGTGGCCCTTTGGAAGATTTGGCAAAATTTGTTGTTTTTTTTTTTTTTTGGTAATGGATATTTGACAAAATTTCTGCTCATTTCGTTGTTGTTCTAGTTGTGGTTACTTTGTTTGTGGGCCGAAATAGTGATTCGATTCCTTGAACTGACTTCCTCAGCGCTTTCGACCAGAAGTTGTAAATATAACGCCTGTTAGGTTTTGAATATTTAAAGTGACAACATCTACTTAATATGGCTTTGTGTCTTACGCAAATGTTGGTATGAATTCCAATTCGTTGGGCACTTAGTGTATGTACATAAATATAGCAACCGTGTAGTAGCAGTGCGTCTTCGTTATTTAAATTACAGCAATTTCTACACTAAGCAGTTCCCTTTTGAAGGAAACCTGTATTATGTGGATCTTTGCTTGAAATCATATTGGGCTTGTGGATGTGTTGTTGATTGGCAACAGTGTATAAGACGAAAAGTAAATAACACCTAGAATTTCTTCCTCCTTCCACTATACCACTTTTCCTACCCCATCACCATTGCACCCTCATCCTCACTCAATATACATTTCGACTTGCCACGTTTATGAGCGTGTATCTAACCAGCAACAAAAAAAAAACGAGTAAATTAGCAACAGAAAAAAAACATTTTTCATTACATCATTCGAAACCAATAAAATAAAAACAAAAACCAGAATCCTTGTACAAAATTTTACAAACGAAAAAATATAGCGAGATTGTAAAAATTGTACAAAGTAAAATATCCGCTTGAAAATGTGAGTCTTCATGACTTTATCTGCCGATTGTCAAAATTGATTGCATATTTTTGAACGCTTTTTACAGGTAACAGCAACGCAACAGCAACAGCAATTGATTACACTAAAAAATACAAGTCAATACCAGCATCCGTCATACAAGTGGTGCCCCAGCTAAGCAATCAGTTGTATATCGGCAACACAATAACCACCCACAGTTATAACAACAACGATCTACGCTCGTTGCAACCGCCAGTGTTGCATTTTTTGCAACAAACACGTAAATTCGAGGGTAAAATACCAAAAATCAGTCAGCAGCAAGTAAATTTGCAACACTCAGACCTGATCATAATGCCGCCAACAACGAACGCTGCCGCTGGCGCCGCCTCCCCAGCTGTTGCTAACACAACCATAAACGCTACAACAACAGCGACAACATCTAGTCAACAACAACAGCAACAGCTGGATCACGAACAGCAGCAGCATCAGCATCAGCAGCGACCGCAACAGCAGCAGCAAACAATCGTTTATACGACAATGTTACCTGCGGCGAGTACCCTAAATGGCATTGTTGCTGGGCAACAGCAACCACAACAGCAAACACAATACATTACTATACCCGCTTCGTCGGTAGCATCAGGTGGCAACACTACAGACGGCGCTGTCTATCAGCTGCAAAGCGAAATTGTTTGTGATGCGGCAACATATCAACAGCATCAACAGCATCAGCAACAGCAGCAACAACAACAGCGACAGCAACAGCAACAACAGCAGCAGCATGAGCAACAGCAGCAACAACAACAACAACAACAACCGCAGCAATTGACTGCTCAAAGCATCAATGGCAATACAATTGCTGTCACTTCGTCAGCTGCAGCGCAAGGTAGGTCCTGCCACACGCTTTGCCGTGTTGTCGATTTGCGTATCTTCTAATTAGCTAGTTGTGTGTGTGTAGATTAGTTTAAGTTTTTAACATTTTAATTTTGTATTTTTGAAATGTAGTGATTATGCTTTGAGTAATATTTTTTCAAACTTCATTTACATACGTTTGGCATTTCTTTGGTTTAAATTAATCAATTTACTAACACTGCATATCGCACGACATTATATTTATTTCTTTTTGTTTCAAAGACAGTTGGTTTGAGATTAGAAATAGGGTCATATGCGACTTCCCATTTTGTTAATTCAAAGAACTCTTAGAGAAAAAAAATTACTTAAAGAAAAAAATATGCTTAGCAAAAAAAAATTGTACATATTTTCACCAAAAACAATATCCTTGATAAAGAGTAATTTGTAAACAAAAAATAATAATCAAAAGCAATTTGTAGTTAGAGCCAAAAGAAATTGCGCATTTTTCTTACGTCTTCAAAGTCATTTGTTCATATAAAGTACAAAGAGTACCTATCTATGTATTATCGTTCTCATCCTTCGGTGAATTTCATAATTTCGCGTTCGTACAGAGCCCACTCAACAAGGTATTAGTTTCAAGGCCAAAATTATTCCACGCAAGAAGTTTTGATGTGAGCCAAACAAGTGGAAATTTCCCGATTCAAAGTCAGGTAAGTAGTATGTTGATGTTGGGTATGGATTGCAGCACATACCATTTCAAATCCAAGAACTTTGAACGGGAACATAATTCCTTAACGATGGACCAGCTCCGAACGTGTCTGGATGACAGTTCATTCTAACTATCAAGTTACCGATAGTTCTTATCCGAATAGATTATTGGAGTTCAATAAAAACCAAACCCTTCCAATACCACCGCATTAAGAACATAATTTCCCTTTGAGGCAGTTCTGCTTTTGAAGTCGTTTGAAGCAATTCATCACGTCTAGATCAAGGTAGTTGCAAAGTATAATCAAATTATATATGCATTGTAAAATGTGTAAAACCAACTGTCATTGAATTAGGAAATTAAAAAAAAAAATGGGTTAATTCGGTGCATCATTTAATTCCTAAATGCCTTCTTTTGGTTTTTCAATTTAAATTTTTCTATTATGTATTCAATTTAATTTTTATATAGAGAACAAAGTTCCTACTAAAGTCCACTCCATTTTTTTCAATTACTTTCATAAGCAAATCCATGCTGCAAAATAACTTACTGTTTCTTAAATGTTTTCAATTCATTACACTCTTTCTAATAGGAAAAATTCTTATAAATTCTGCGTTAAAAAAATTGTTTTCGAAGAATTTCATAACTAACCTTAAAATATTTATTTGTATAACATATTTGCTAGTTTAAAGTTCACATTTTTAATAGTTTTTTATACGCAACAATTTTATTTATCTTGAGGCCGTTATTAAATGAAAAGTGTTGTGGAAAAGAACAGTTATTTATAAATATATAATTTATAATTATTTATAATTATAATTATTGATTTTTTTCCACATTACTTTGAATTTGTTGTTATAAGGCCATAAATAGCAAAAAAAAATAAAGTTTTTTATACGTTTATGAGCTTCCGCTACAACATTCTTTAAATTCTTTTCTCACGGTTTTCCTCATTTTAAGTATAAAATTTCGCAAACAACGTAAAAAATTATAAATTTTGTAAAATGTTTTTTTTTTTTATCTCCCTTTTGCGCATTCTATATTCCATTTACTTTCATTTTCTAAAAAAAAATAATTTTAAATAAAGCTTTAATCCGACAGCTGATCAGTTGCAGAAATTCGTAAGTTAAATAGTTACAAAAATACACGATTTTTTAATTTGCGTCAATAAAATCAAAAATCATAGCAACTGAGTTAATTTAATATTAGCCGGCTGCTGTCACACTTTTTTAAACAGTAGTACAAAGACTTTTATATCATAAAATCTGAAATTACATGCATACTACACACAGCAGTTTTCATGAAAATAACAGCCTACATATTGACAAGTTTTTACAACTTTTATTTAATTATTATTTTTTTTGTATACAAAAACATAGATAATTCTACAAAAAAAAAGCCGATTTGTAAGTTTCAATCTTTCTAAGAAAATTAAAAAAAATCCACAAATCTTTACCAAACTTCGACATTTTTACCAAAATTTAAAAATTATTAGAAAAACTTTAGGTATACAGAATCCGCTTTGATTCTTAATAGATATATATATATATATATTTTTTTTTTGCTGAGAGTGCAAGCTGTATTCTTGCATATAAAAAAATTATTATATGGGAAAAAAGCGCGAGACCTTCAACAAAAAAAGAATTCTCAAAATTTAAGGCGGATTCTGATAAAAAGTTGAACTTTTATAAATTTTGTTGAAAGTGTGATACTTTTGATTTGCATGGTTTTTGTTGTATTAACTGTATTTTATTAAAAAAATTATTAAAATAAAACTGTCAAAACTTGTCAATACGTTGCGCTGCTATTTTCGGGAACACTGCTATATCTATTATAGCAACAGTTATAAACAAGCACTAAGAAAACACCTTTGAAGACTGAAAAAACATAGAGAAATATTTTTTTTTTTTTGTATATATCGAAGACCTGACACATCCACCGCACCTAAAAGTAGTTTGAAATTGTATGCATTATTTTGCGACTATTTAGTCTACTTTTGGGCTGCCTTCGAAACAAACTTTGATATTGAGCAGCAACTTTATAACAACAAAAATAAATGAATGGACATTCGTTATATTTTTAAATTAGTTGTAATTCACTATATTTTAGTTTAATTTGTTTTTAGCAGTGCAAATAGTTTTTGTGCATTATTATTTAGTTGTAAAGTTTTCTATTTGATTTAGAACATTTTAGTTTAAGTAATTTTTGGTTAAACTTTAGACCAGCCTTATGTTTTAAGTAGATTTCGAATTGCCAAACGTTTTGCTCTTTCACTTTCTATTATTCAAACTTTCCTTTTTATATTTAGTAAATTTCAATGCAACGAAAGCAACTTATTGTCAAGCTACTAGTATTCCTTTTATTTACCAACAATCAATGAAAAGAAAATTCACAAAGAGTACTAAGAGAAGGAGATTTTAAAATAAATTACACTAATTGTGGTTTCTAATTCACATCGGGAATTATGTGATCCTTTTATTTGAAAAACGCCGGCACACCAATCAAAGAAGAAATGAAGAAAAGCGGAAATAGCCAGAAATGTAAAAAAAAACTATCAGAAATAACAATGAACAAAAGAAGTAAAGAAGCACCCAAATTTCCTTAACGTTTTTGAGGAAGAGGTAAAAAAGTAGCAAATACCTAGGAATCAGCAAACAACTATATGAACGTAATATTCAGAAGTTGAAGAAAGATGGTAAATGAAGAAAGTCATATGATGCAAGAAAGTCATAATTCGTTTCGGTTTGGTCGCCCCGTCTTTGGCACTTTTTTATGTGGAAAAACTTCTTAAATAAAAGAAATAAAAATATAACTTAACCAATAGTTAAATAATATAAAAAATTGGTAAATTCGTCATTGGACAATATTATCAAAATGTGTTAATGTGCATATAAACCGAATAAAAATGACCTGAATAGCAGGTATAATCCAAAAGTTTTAATATCTGCTATGCTAAATACCGCTGAACGTTTCAATTATAAATTGTCGAGCAAAGGTGTATTTTCAAACGCATTAATGCAAATGCATCTCTTTTACATCTAAACCACAGACAATGTGAAAGTATCCAATTATTAGGGTTAGATCGCCGAAATAAAGGTCCTTAATCGGGTAAAACCCGAGTCATTACTACGACAAAGCAATATACCTACTAACTCCGCAGGACCAAAACAGGATCCTCCCCTTAGCTGAAAAAGACGACAACGTTGATGAGTGAACCGACCCGAGCGGGGTTTAGTAGCCGCTACAACAACAACAACCAACACGGGATGCCTTTTGATGTCGCTCGAACCCCGTATGTATAGAGCGGCCTGAATGCTCGCCGTCAGGGAACATAAGCTTAAGCTCAGCCAACATAACAAACAGAACCAGTGCCACCTCCTATGCACGTCAAAAACATCTCTATGAACTCCTGGACGAGATTTAGGCTTACATCGCACAACCTCTGGGCCCGACGTAGCACATACAGGTCATAAACGACAATCACCGAAAGGCAATCACCACATTTTCCGACTCTCGCCCCATTAATGCGGTCATCAGAATATAGCCACCAATTAAGGTCCGATTAATATAGCAGATTAAACTCTTACTTATCCAGATCCGAACCCGAATTCACCTTCAATTAAGCCCACTTAGCTAACAGCCGCTTCCCTTTGGTTGGACCGCGTCGCAGCAGCACGTTTCCTTGGCCTACTGTTAGTTGAGTTAGACGATAGAAATTGTAGACTAATCGATTTAGGTAGAGCTTAGTGGTGCCGCCTCAGCACCGACCATCAACCAGTTTAATCTTAATTTTTTTTTTTTGCCTCTGAACTGTTTATTGGGACAGCAAGAAAAAGGACAAGTCACTGACGGCAAGATCTGATGAATAGGCTGAGTATGCAAGCCGCCAATATAAATTCTGCAAAGGGATGTTTGATGATCATTGTTCGTTTCAAAACGATTCCCAACACCAAGTTTTTCTATTTATATGTTTTTTACGAACAATAGAGGTTTAAAAAGTTTCTTATAGTTATAAATTCGGATAGCCAGTTATCAATAGAGCGTATGAGAACATTTTAAGGGCTGAACATTTTTTACGATTATATTGTAAACTTCGTTATACTGTGGATACTACATATATACATTTGAATACTATCCAAAGTTGCTCGTTGCTATTGAAATTATTCACTGTCCTTACAATTATACTATACCTATTTTAAGTTATTTCTGTACCTCTACTGACTTATTTGATTTGCCTGTTTTGATTATTTCAATTATCGTCTTATTTTAATTAAAAAATCTCTTTATGCTTGTTTAAAATTAAAAAAAAAAACGTTGATAAGTACACAATTGTTTATGCGAAATATCAGTTCTTAAAGTAATTTCTATTATTTTATGTGACAAAAAAAACATTCAAACAAACTTCCCAAAAACTGGAAACGAAAAAGATTATTTACATTTATACACATTTGAAACCAATTTTTAAAAATTAAGACAATGTGGTCACCACTATTAGTTCGTCCCCAATACTGCTCACCTCCACCGCCGCCGCCGCTAGCAACAACCATCATCACCCACACCTCCTTCAGCAACAACACCAACACCACCAAAATTCTGCTGCCGCTGCCACATCCACCTACACCACAACAACCACCACTGCCACACCGCTCACCAGCATCAAATCCGAGCCTGATGACGAGACGACGAAGCACATTATCGTCAATGGCGATGGCACCACAACAACGCTGCAGACGCAGCCGCAGTCTCAGCCACAGTACCATTACATCACCACCACTGGTGAAGATGGACAAACGCCGACGACGATCGTCTTCGAGAACTACAATGGTGAGGTCACCGAAGTCAATGGTGGTGGTGCCACAACGATAATTAAATTCGAGGGCGACGACCATGAGTACCAAGAGTTCCAAGTGATAAAACATGAGCAGGAGGAGGGCTTAAATGGCATAAATACTGATCGATCGTTATTGGAACAACAACCACAACAACAAAACCAACAACAGCTTGAGCAACAGCACCAGCAACAACCGCAATTCACCTACAAAACCATAATAAAACAAGAAGAGGATATGAATCAAACTATAACTGAAACGATTACGGTGCCCGCCGGCGGTGTGCCAGCGATACCACCACAAAAACAGAAGCGCAAGCGAAAAACGCGTTTGATTTCGCCGGACGAGCAGGGTGAATATTTGGAGAAGATGTCGGTGCGCGGCTTGGACATACAGCGCTATGAGCATATCATTGATGGTGTCTCATATTGTTTGGTTTGTGCCAAGAATGACGTTTACAAGACATTCAAGAACAAGTACAGTTTTCAACGTCACGCCTATCTATTCCACGAGGGTGATAACCGTAAAATTTTTGCATGCCCCGTTTGCAATAAGGAGTTCTCACGCCCTGACAAGATGAAAATGCATAAAAAGGATAAACACGGCGATGCGCAGGTTCCCGATGGCACACTCACTCCAGTGGCCACACCAGTCAAGCAAGAACCCGACGGGCCGCCCGGTAGGCGCTCGCGTTCCACAACCACGCGCACACCACGATCACGCAAACCACGCACCAGCGTCGCCAATACGCCAGTCGCCAACTGCAGCGGTAGCGAAGAGAACGCAGTTGAGGCGAAACGAAAGCGGCTTGCTCAGATTGATAGCGTTTTAGATGTGGTACAGCAACAGGCTGGCGGAGTGCACGATTCGCACGCGCAAACTGCAACTGTTAATATACAACTGCAGCAGCAGTCAGCCACCACGCAACAGCAAGCGCCACAACAAGTGCATATATCACAGCAGCAGACAATGCCACCCATCGATTTGAGTGGTATGATATTGCCAGGTGGCGCGCAATTGGCGCTAGCCCATCCCACTGCCACTTCTGCGCTACTACAACAGCAACGTGGCACGCATCAACAACAGCAGCAGCAACAGCCACACGCACCACAGCAACATATCGCTTTGTCCGCGTCCGCAGCACAGGTGCTACAGCCGTCAGCAACAGCCGCCACTGGTGCTGGCGCTGCCGGCACCACACTCATCTATTCCAATCAAATTGATTTACAGCAGGCGCTGCTGCAGCAACAGCTGCATGGCCAGAGCATAATGATACAAGATCAGGCTGGCAATTTGGTGCCACTACAATCGCTGCAGGCGCTTAATGCGCTCGATGGCACGCAAACAATTTACACCACACAGCCAGCGCGACACGCGCCACCAACACAACAGCTGCTGCAGCCGGCACAGCAGACATCTGTGGGCGCGTCGGCGAGCGCTTATCAGACAGCACCACAACAGCACATACAGTTGCAAGCGCTGCCGACCGCTTCGCCGCAAGAGACTATCATTGCAGCAACTTCACCCGCCGGTCAGCAACAGCAGCAGCAGTTGAAAGCAACAACGCAACAACATACAAGCAATGTCGCTACGCAGCAACAGCAGCAGCAGCAACAACAACAGCATCACTATGAGCTTGAAAATGTGGCATACTTGTCATCGACAGCTGCGACACCGGCGCCGTCAGAACAACAACAGCAGCAGCAGCAGCAACAACATCATGTTATTGGCACTGTACAAAGCTATCAGATACTAACGCCCGACGGCTTGCAGAGCTATCCTACTGCCACAGCGACCACAACTAAGCTGGAACCAGGCGATTTAGCTGAGCTCTGTCCCTACACTTCGATGTCAAACACTACACCACATTACACATTCACGACGCATGCGGGTCACCACGGCGCGACTGCGGACAGCCACCAATTGCATCAGCAGGTGGCCGGTGCTACAACTAGTCATACCCAGCAGCAGCAGCAGCACCAGTTGACGGCGGTTGGAGGAGGCGGTGGCCAGCAACAGCAGCAGCAGTCACAACAACATCATGTACAGCAGCAGCATCATTTCATGGAGCTGAAGAATGATTTGCTCATTAAGAGTGCGGCGGATGCATACGCGTTGGACGCAAGCTCCATGTATCACCTGCCTTTCTCGCCTTCGTCGATGATAAGTTCGGTGAACGAAGTAAATGGATCGTCGCTGCTAGAAACCAAAGAAATTAGGTAACAAAGAAGTCTATACATTTTTTGACTGTTGTGTTTGATTTTTGTAAAAGTAAAATTTGCGTTTTTCGTAGGAAGATAACAGTAAAGTATGTATGTATGTGCATATGTAGTTATTCTAGCGTAAACCAACTGATTTTAATAAAACTTTTTTAGATTGTTGTTATTGATTTACAGCGCTGCGATTGCCTGACTGCCTGCCAAAACAATCGCCGGCATGTGTGCCAACGCTATCATGAGAAAGAAAAAGAAAGCAAATGTGTTGTAATGAACAACTTTAGAACACGTTTTTAATTTTGTTGTATTAATTTATTACTGTTACGTGCTAACCAAATATAAATATAAAAATATGAATAAAAGTACAAAAAACGCTTTGTATTCTATTTAGATTAATAATGGCATTGTTTTTAAAGTTATTATTTATATATGTATGTTATGTTGATTTTGAAAATAAGTAAATAATTTCTTTAGTTTTCGAAAGTTGTAATTATATTAGATTTATTATTGTTTATTTGTAACTTTGTATTTACAATGTACAATCAAAAAAGCTGTTAACCTCAAGCGGCATACATACAACTATGCCTACTATTGATGCATTGTACTGTTGCTGCTAATTTTTGTACTACTTACACTCTATCACACTACACCTTAACTCACAACAACTCTACACTAGAAGAGAAATCGTACTGCTATCTGATTCTGAATATATAAAAGTAGAAATTTTAGTTTTTATATACTTAATAATATATTTATTATAGCAATAAAACCACTAAGTGAATATTACCTTTAGGTCGCTCGAAGATCAGATAAGAGGTGCGTACTTCCATTCAGTTGAACCGCAGGGTTCGATCGTTGTCGTCGTGCAACATCGAAAATCGTCCAAAATAGTTTTTTATTCTGAAGACGCTCGGCCAATCGGGCTTTTATGCTTCTTATAGCCAGTTTCAATTCAATGAAAAACTTGTATTTTTTTTTTAATTAATATGAAAACTTACAAGGAAAAAATCATACTTAACTTAAATTTTTGGAGAAGCCAGCGTTGAGGCAGTATAATTTTAAATTTTTATCCCAAACTCTTATTTCAAAAGTACTATTTTTGAAAACCATTTGTTTTCTTAAACTCAAATCCAGAAAACCCTTTTTTCTAAGTTTACAATTCACGTTATTTCTATTTTCACTGTTTTTAAAAACAACTATTTTTAAACCACACCCGTTTTTAAAACCTGTATTGCAAAGAACGCTATATACGAAAGCCAGGCATTTCTAAAATCCATATTTTAAAGAAACACGCTTCTTTGGAAATTTCAGAAATTTTAAAAATATGTTTTAAATAAATATTNCAGAAAACCCTTTTTTCTAAGTTTACAATTCACGTTATTTCTATTTTCACTGTTTTTAAAAACAACTATTTTTAAACCACATTCGTTTTAAAAACCTGTATTGCAAAGAACGCTATATACGAAAGCCAGGCATTTCTAAAATCCATATTTTAAAGAAACACGCTTCTTTGGAAATTTCAGAAATTTTAAAAATATGTTTTAAATAAATATTTTGTTTTTAGGAAAAAGACCTGCAATCCCCTTTATAATTGGTAAAAAAAAACACTTCAAAAAAACACCCAGTTGCACCCAGTTTAAAAAAAGGATCTGCGGAATACGTAACGTTAAATTTTTTATGCTCTAGAGAGTGAACTTATTTTTAACTTTGAATCTGATTTAAAAAAATGCATTTTGAAGCCTCCTATATGCTGCAAAATATCGCTTTTTTATGATGTTTGGCTTTCTTTTCTCTAATAACTATTTTCTAACAAAATATGTTTGTTATAAATATCCGTTAATTTTTATATTTTTTGACATAGCAAGTTCCTGGTTTGAATTTAATGGGCCGTATGAATACAAACTTAGCTATTGCTTTTTGTTAAAATGTCAGACATTTTACTCGAATTATTCAAATAAATTGAAGTGAAATGTCTGAAATTTAAAANATTTTTTGACATAGCAAGTTCCTGGTTTGAATTTAATGGGCCGTATGAATGCAAACTTAGCTATTGCTTTTTGTTAAAATGTCAGACATTTTACTCGAATTATTCAAATAAATTGAAGTGAAATGTCTGAAATTTAAAAAGCAATTGTTTAGTTTTTGTTCATACGGCCCAATGTATTATGGGTATATTGATGACTAAATTTCCATAATAACGCTTGTAATTTTATTGTTTGTTTTAGTTTTATTTTGTTGGTATAATCGTTGATTTTTTTTGTATTTTTCTTTTGGGTACAATTATGCTTAAAATTTTACTGAAAATCGAGTTAGTGACACCAAAAAATTGCCAGGTACAGCCTGTAACCGACCAAGTATTTGTTAAACAAAATATTTTGACATCCCCCAGTAATTGATTTTTAGTTTGAAATTTGAATACTTTATTTTTATTAATTATTTTAGTTTCACAGTTGTAATTGACAAACAAAATGTAGTTTTTTTTTAATTTTGTAATTATATTTAGTTGTTGGTTTACTTTGTTTTTTTTTTATGTTCTAATTCAATATTTGTGTTTTATTTGTATGCTACATGCAATTTAAATTTTCTTACAATGATTAATTTAATTATATATTTTGTTTGGTTTTTTTCTTCTCTTTTTTTCTCGATTTCATTTATGTACTTTGCAAAAAAAAAAAAATAAAAAAAATGTAACTGTATGTAACTACCGATTTCAACAAATCATTCACGGCTGTGATCAATCAACCAACAAACATCTCCTGTTACCACACTACGTACGCACCCACACACAAATGAATACATAACAAATCGAATGAAACATATGTACATATATACAGTTATGATATCACCGAGGCGGTTCTGTTAGCGTTGTAATAAAGCGCGTATTAAATGCCGCAAATGGAGTGTTTATCTATCTATAAAAAACGGACTCGTGATTGAAGAAAAAGTATGAACTGGAAAAAAATCTATATATTTTATGCCAAAAAGAAGTAAAAAAAGTAAGAGTGCAGGCCATTATGCGCCCGTACATATAATGGATAATAAAAAAACATCGTTCTAAACTTGCGAAATGCTGCGTTTGCTACATTTCAATATGCACGCGCCGCTTAACATTTTAGTTTATATTAAATTTCTTATGAAATTTCTGTCAAGATTTTCTGCATACTACTACACTACTTAGACAAAAAAAATAGTTTACCAAAGGTATGTGTTTACTTAAAAAAAAAAAAAAAAAAAAAAAAAATGTTAACTTTCGTGTCTTTGTATTTTGTTTGTATTTTCGCTAGAAGCTTTTTCACTTTCCAGTGCCACTGTTTGGTATTGTTTTGCCTACAATTTACCGAGTTGTCTCACTATTTGGTTTTGATTGTGATTTGGATGTGAGAAAATGTTGTGCTTGGGAATTATGTGTATTTCCACTATCATATTTACGCAAGCGAAATGCGCTTGAAAATAACTAAGTTCGGTATCGAATCACTTTTGTGCAAATGGCCGTCGTATACTTCGAATCCCTAACAAAGCCTTTGCGTTCCCCAATTGTCAGCACTTTCCCGCGAAATGCGTAAACTTTTTGAATTGTCTTTAGTTTATATGATTCGCGTCAGCACCAGGGATGTATTCGCGATTTTCTTATTAATTTTTTAATTTACTTTGAAGTTATATGAAATATTTGAAACCATATGATTTCATATAAGGGGCTGTTGCTGGAACCGCTGATTTAATTCACCTCGGTACACGTGTCAAAATTTCTGATGAGTGAGACCACCTTATATGGATTCGCCTTGGTTGAAACTCAATTAATTTTGTACCAAATCCCCATAATTCATCGCTACCACCTTATATAAATTCGCCTTGGTGACAAATTCCTATAATTCTTCGTTTGTAAGCTTTGTCGTTTTCCGCATAGGGCTGTATTTTATTTTCATACAACTTTTGGAAATTTTTTAATGAGCATATCGTCTCTTAAAATCCTATTAAAACTGCGTTTTATTTGGGGTATTCGCAAGGGTGTCGTATTTTTTAAATATATTTAAGAGGTTCGCAAGGTACCATAAAAGTCATACTATGGAAGGTTTTGCAATTCACTTCCGAATGAATTTCAACCTCATTCAATTTGAATTCACTTTGGTTGAAGTTCACCTGCAAGTGAATTGCAGACCATACCTAATTATGAATTTATCTAACCGTTGAAAAATTATGACATAAGACAATGCGAACTTATGACATCCTGCGAACTTACTAATTGCATATTCGTATGTATTGTTTATTTTGGTGGGCTTCATTCCGAAATTTTTTGCTTGCATTTCTCATGCATATGTATGTTCATATTAAAAGGGTTTTCCAGTTTTTTTAGTTGTTTTCATATTGTATATGCTGCTTTTTTTAATTAAAAGAATCATGTCTTTATTTTTCGCATTTTTTTTTACATAAACCTAACAATTCATGCTAGGGAATGCGCATTATCATTTTCACTTATCGATGCAAAACACGGTCGGTTTTTGCTAGTATGTATGTACGTTTGCAAGAAAAAAAACTAAACTGCACTTTTAACATTTTTTTTTTATTTTAATTCTTTCCTACACAACACTTACAAAATTTATAAAAAGTATATATATGTAATTTATGCGGCATTTTTGGAGGAAAAATAAATTTTCTTAAATTTCTTTGGAAAGCAAAAAATATGTCAATCATAATCTTAAAATATCGAGTGTTTTTTCTTTTGCTCCAATGCCACTAAAGTTGCATATTACAAACAATCATATAATAAATAATACGTTTATTAAATTTTTTGTTACATGTACATATATACACTATTTATGTATGTATGTATGTAAACATAAAATATTCTAATTCCTTTTTTATCCAACACTGTCAAATCTAATAAATTGGGGCTGATGATTGATGAACAATTGTTTGTCTGAACAACAACAACGGCCATGTTTTCCTCATCTTGTTAAATAAAATTCGATTTTAAAAACTCTTTTTTTTTTTTATAAAAATAACAGTTTCATGAAATATATACTAGTTGCAATGTTCACAATAACCAGTTAATAGAAATAACGTTTGATTGAAATCTCAACTTGACATAATATCAATTAATTGAAGTGCCTTTTAATCATATTGTGCATTAATAAAGCTGTTTATTGAAGTATCAATTAAGCCATCACTACTCAGCCCCGGTTTGAAAATCATCCCATTCTCATAAGTTCCTAAATTAGTATATAACTTTATTCTAAATATAAGCTTTTATTTTTTCCTAAAAAAATAATCGAAATGGCTTACAGTAAACTAATTTATTTTTATTGTCTTTTTTCTTATTTTTTACATGATAATTAATTTCTACGCCTGTGTTTATATTGTGTCTGTATTGTTGTGTCTACCTCTTGTGTTTCGTCCACGAAAAAATGTATAGGTTTTACTAAAAACCAAACAATAAGCAATACCAACAACCAAAACGAATACAAACAGAACAACAAAAACAAAAATAACAAGAACAAAAACAACCAAATCAGTAACGATCTTATTGACAACATNAAACCAAACAATAAGCAATACCAACAACCAAAACGAATACAAACAGAACATTAAAAACAAAAATAACAAGAACAAAAACAACCAAATCAGTAACGATCTTATTGACAACACGAATTTTCCCTTCCAACAACCAACACTACCACCACCAACCCCCATAAAACGAAAAGTTGGCAGACCACCAAAATATCCAGTAAAAACACTCGATTCATCAGAGACCCCAACTAGGCCAAAACCTATTAGAAAACCAAGAAAAACAAAATCTGCACAAACACCAGCATCAATTCCCAAACCCTCAGCAACATCACCATTACCATCATCATTGCTCGCATCTCCCACAATCAGTGAGAACGCCATAGATTATTCCAGTCCAACTACAACAACGCCATATTCATTATCAGCCACATCAACAACAACAACAACTGATAATACACAAATAAAGACCGCTACACAAGCCATACACAGCACACCACCACCACCAAAAATAACCACACCTACCACAGAGCCACAATGTAGCAACAGCAACAACAACAATAGTTTAGCAACCAACTGGCCTCCAATGCCTCCACCATCATCCATGAATAAGCCTATCAATATGGGCATCATTGGTGGCAGTGGTGGCGGAGGCGGCGGCGGTAGCTGTGGTAGCTTTGGTGACAAGTACAACAACAAGAGTCAAGTGGGCGCAGTCACCAGTACAGGCAATGGCGGCGTTAATTTCACCCTCAACAACAACAATAATTCTGCGAATAATTTCGTTGATGAATTTACTGATTTTGTTTTGAGTGATCGCTTTTCCGGTAAACTAACCACTACAAATTGCTTTTCCTCCTTTCAAACACCAACACCGAAATCTGCTTCTGTTACATTACCATTACAACCACCACAACCACCACCACCACCACCACTATCATCATTGCAACCGCCATTGAAAACACGTGGACCCTCCACGCAACGTAGGACTATCACCGCCGGAGGTGAGGCAGGCGGCACGATCGTGAGGAATGGCAACAATACGGTCATCACCAGCGCCGCCAAAAAGAAATCGGCGATACAGCCGCGCACAGTGCAACTGCTGGTAACGCGTCGTCCCATCATCACCACCGCCAGCAATAGTAATACACAAATCTTTGCTGCCACCAATACCAACGCAGCTGCCACACAAACAGCTACTATTGTTGCGCCCGGCATGCTAAAGATTACATCAGCGGGGCAAACAAACCAAAACAACAACAACAGTCACATTTTACATACCTCTGCCGGTACCGAAACCGTGGTCATTGAGGAGGAGGATGACGAGCTAATAACAGCTGCAGTAGAGGCAAGTGGTGACGATGACTCGAATTCAGTCAGCTCAATTGCTATGTCGACGACTACCGCGCAAATTTTACGCAAGTTCCGCATACCCAAAGGCACCGCGCTCACGGCAAAAATGAGCGCCGCCGAAGTGGCAGACAACTCGTCAGAGGCGATGATCTACAGCGCATCAACATCACCGGCGCCATCACCATTACATTCCACTACCCGTTCGCCACCACCGCCAGCGGATACACCGAGCTCGGTCGATTTGGTTGAGGAAGTAATCGAAACAGATGAGAACTCAACATGTCAATCAACCGATGCGCTAATGGTGGCAGACACCACCACTACTACAACCGATACCATGAACGATGACTGCAATGCGGAAGTCGTGGATGACACTGATGCCGGCACAACCACCACAGTTTTAGTGCCAGTGAGTAGTAGTGGTGGCGCGTTGACAGCAGCGACCGCAACAGCGCTGCCACAAATCCAGCTGCAAACAGTGCAACCAAATGGCACTGTTACCTGCATTAATTTGCCACCTAATACGATTTTACTCACCGCTCCGGATGGTTCTACTATACTTGCTACAGCGACGCCGCAACAGCTGAGCAAACTGACGCAGCAGCAACAACCGCAGCCACAAGCCCAGCAGCAGCAGCAGCAGCAACAAATTATTGCGATACAAGATTGGAATGGTAATGGCGGTGGCGCTAACGGCGATAGTGCAAGCGGTGTTGGTGGCAATACCGCCACTGTGTTGCAAGCGGTACAAGCGGCCGCATCACATCACCATCAAGCAACTGCTACAGCGCAAACGTTGCTGCTTACCGCCGATGGCACTGCAATACCATTAATTCAATCTGCACCCAACGCTGTCACGAGCGCTGCCAGTGGAACGTCGAACTCAGCGGCGGCAGCAGCGGCGGCCGCAGCGCAAATTGTCGCTGCTCAGCAGGCCGAGGCGCTGAAGGCTCAAGTGCTGGCGTAGGGTTTGGCCGGTGGCCAATTAGGGCGATTTTTGAACAATGCAACAATTTTACCGACGACGTACTTTTTCTAAAAGCAAAGCCGCTAGCAAGGTAATGTTAGAAAGAGTTTATAAGTATTTTGTAATTTTAACTTACATAGATATGTGTGTAAATAGTTCTAGTTTTATGTGCGAGTATGTTAAGTATACGAAATTGGTTTGGCATTGAAGTCCTTTGTGTTGTTTGTCTTCATTAAAATTAGCAATTCACCAATGTATGTTTTAATTGATTTTCTTAACATTCGAGAATTAAATTTTCATGAAAAATTCAAAATCAACAGCTGAAAATATATTTGTAAATCAAAAATTGCTCCAATTAGCCGCTGAATGAGCGATTCTGGAACGTTGGAGAAATAATATTCAGAGCCTACGCTACTTGTAAAAAAAAATTAACCGCTCAATAGTTACTTATTTATCGTACAAACATTAATACGTGCAAGGCAGTGGAAGGATACGTTGGTCGCGTTTGGTAAAACTCGAAACGAAATTGAAGTTATTAATTTAGTGCATTCTAAAATTCGGCTTGTGCTAAGGATCGTAAATTTTACAAATTTAAGTTTACAAAAATGGAATCGAACTTTTTTACTAAAGGTTTAATCAGTGTAGACTTAACGTAACATAACTTAAAACCCGCATATTATGTGGAAAATATGTAGAAACAATTTTAAACGGAAAAAATTTCATAGTTTGAGTTTATTAGTTTTTTGGTTGTTGGTCTTTCCGACAGGTTCGTCATCCTTGGTTAAAGTTACGTTAATTCTTCTCTAATTGCCCCTTAATAGCTACATTCATAAACATTTTAATTGATTTGAAATTCTTCCTGAATAGACAAAAATTTATGAACATGTTACCTTACAACTTTTTTAAACCTTTTTACTTTTTTATGAGTAGATCCATTAAGATATTTTATAAATATAAAGATGTATTGGAAATGCCATTTTCGAAGACCCCGTAAATCATTTTTTCAGAGTATTCTGAATTGTAGAGAAATTTTAAAATATACGCAAAAATCTCATCCGATTTATAGCCGAATTTTCTAAAATCAAAATAAACTGTGCACACTTAGATTCTTTTACGAAATTTCGAAAGAAAATCGGTTAGGCAAAGAGATAAATGCTGCTATGTAAAGAATTTCTTGCAAATTTTTTTCAGAATTTTCTTAATTTTTCGTACAGAAATAAGATGCCCCTAAAGATTTCGTTAAGATTTCGGGAACTTTGGTTTCCAGGGGAGTTCTAAGCAATTTTTTTTCGAATAAGGATTCACTTAAAAACGGCATATTCAAGCGTTTTGAAATTTATGTTGCATTAAAATGGCTACAAATATGATCCACCGAACAAGGCGTTTTCTACGAAAAATGTAATGGGGCAGAAATTTCAGAGTTGAAAGCCAATTTGATTTTAACTGAATAATTATAGTTTCCGAATCTTGCTAAAAGCGTTTTGTATGTGGAGCGATGTTTCCTTTCGAGCAGCCGAAAAAAATATTGAAACTAAAAAGGGGACTCCATAGTATAGTTTCAGTGAAATTTATTAATTTTTGATTTTTTTTTTAAGGAAACTAAAGAGAAAACATTTTGTTGTTTGGCGATAAATGTGTTCAAAGTTTCAATTATTTATGCATTCAGACTAACCATTCATAATCTGCTAAAAAGACTATAGAACATAAAATACCGTTTTATACATATTTTCAAAACACTATCAGGCAGGTTTCGCAATTCACATCCGAGTGTATTTCAAACAAAATCATTTTCCAGTTAAAATTTAATGGGGTTGAAATTCACTCGGAAGTGAATTGCAGAACCTCCCTGTATACTTTAGAAAATTCAAAAGAAGTTGATTTTTTTGAAACTCTGAGCCTCCTCGTCTCCTTAAGACCCGTTCTACACTTTTCGCAAAAAAATGGTTCATTATGAATATGCATTTGTTTTTTGTTTTTTTTTAATTATCTCTATCAAAAATTTGATAAACTTAAAAACTAAGTTAGGTATATTTTCCACGACTTATGTATGTACATATGCCAGAAACATGAATGTGTAAAAAGGAAAATTTTGGGAAATCAAGTTTGAACTTTTTTTTACGAGTCTTAACTCTACATTTATACAATTGAAATTGTAAAATATGTCGTTTCCTTATGCGTATGGTATTCTGGGTTTTGCTATAACATAGAACATCCAAAGGTTTATCAAGTCAACCCAATAACTCAAAACTGATAAATTTGCACATTCATGCTGCTGGCGGCATAAGGGTGACCATATATTTTCGATTTGATTTTATCATTTTATTTTTTAATTAAAATTGAGTATAATTTTATGCCTTCTTCACAAAAGTTTTTGTGACGTCAAAAACTGCCACATACTACTTTTGTAAATAATTGCATAAAATAGTAAATTAATAATTTTTTAAACGTTTTTATTTTAGTGTAAACACATATTTTTGTATATATTACATATCATACCAATTATTCAAAGATATGGCTCCCAAAAACCTTATATGTATACAAGTTTTCCCATAAATGAAGTTGTTACTTTTCAAGTATTTTGCAGACGTGACTACATATCCTTTCAATTAGTTCGACGTTTTTGTATACTAAGAAAAAACAACAAATATACCACGTTGTAAATTTTAAGGGTGTACTCTTGAATACAGATTTCAAACGAAATCGCCACAAATTAGCCAAATTAGTTTTTGCTCCATCAAACAAACAAACTAGTTGGACTAAAAGCAAACAATATCACTATTTATGAAGACTTCATACGAAATCTGAAGGAGGAAAACAAATTTATAATACCATACTCGTTACATAACTAAATTACAAAGTTAAATGATTAGTGATAGAGCTATATTATACATGTATAGGAATGATTATCAATATTGTTTAAATAATATTACATAATACGAAAGAATGCAATTCAATTCATAAAATGAGTTACTGATATTTAAGTATAAAGGAAAATGTAAGAAAAAATATAAAACAGTTACTAAAAATACGTCGATTCGACGTATAGATGAGTGCATACACTACATTATTTATTTAATTATTGTGTTCCAAATGTATACATATGGTCCATGTATTTTATTGTGTATGTACTTTCGCAAATGCCATACAAAAAAAAGTTGCATATTAAACATTTTTCATATGAAGCATTAATGTAGCAGCTTGTCGGATAATAGAGTTCTTTCTATAGCAGTCGAATATATAGAAAAAGCTGTCTTCCTTTCAGTTTGCTGCTTTAGTGACTTTTCACATTAAGTGGTCGATGTTTTCATTGATGCGATATACAATTTCGATCACTTTTTAAGTGTTAAATCTCAATAGCTGACACACTAGTTTGTTCCGCAATTTACATACCAAACTATAACAAATAAACGTAATCTTATTTAAATTTTTTTTTATTGAGAGAATTCTCCTAAAAGTCAGCTGCCGTGGTCGAGTGGCTAGAAGTGCGCACGACCACTCGGTAGGTCCAGGGCCGAGCAACATCAAAAAACCCTCGGCAAGCCATGGCAATCCTTCGAGTGTATTTCTTCCATGAAAACAAGCTTCTCAATTAAACCATTTGCCGTTCGGAGGTGGCGTAAAACTGTAGGTCCCTGTCCTTTGTGTGACAACATCACGGAGGCTCCTCCAAGCACTAGCAAATGTGTTAGCGCCAAATATATATCCCTAAAGTTGAAAAAGCTTAACATCAAATTTATATGCAAATTTTACTTTATAAGGATTTTTTAAAACATTTTTTTTTGTGGATAAGACCATAGAATCCCATTGAGCTTTCAAAATTTCTATGGAAAATAGGTTAGTTTGGAGTTTAAGGGACGTCATATTCTAAATTGCCTGTTAAACAAATTTTATTTTGCCGGGCTTGCGCATCCTTCCGGCATGTTCTCATTTAGTATCGCTTTTGTTTCAATAAACTCACGTTTGCGGAACCATATTTTTTTGGTATTCATATCCGTTGGCGTACATTAATTAAATTTTATTATATTTTAATACATGTTTTTATGTATTAACTTATAACATACATATATTTTATTTATTCTACTTAAAAAAAAAAAACACCAACCAGCCAAATTAATATTTGAAGCTAGTTTTTTATTGAAAAGTTTTGTTTGACAACAATTAAATATAGCGATTTCTCTCGGCTTAAACCCCCTAAACTTGCTGCGGGCTATTTTTGCCTACCCAGAAGCTGCATATGACCTGCAAGCTCCAGTATCCGTGTTTTGGGCGTAGCATATTTTTAGGTGTACGCTTTATTTGGTTCGAAAAATTTTACGCTGTGTGTACATAAATCCATAAAAGGTGGTGTTTGAAAAGCTAAACCTTGCGCAGCTTGATGAAAAAAGTCAGAAAATAACGAAGAAATACAGACTACCTAACTTTTGTTGGTGTTTGAAAAAATAAAAATAAAAATTTGCAGAAAAAATTACAAAAATTTATTATTTGGAAAAGATAAATATAAAAAATCAATTAAGGCAAAAATTCAAAAAATCACCCATTTCGCTATTAAATTAATCCATTAGCAGCCGATATCACCAGCAATTTAAATGGAAAATGATTTTTTATTTTCTGTCATATAAAATTCAAAAAATTAAAATCATTTTTCACTTAAATTGCTTTCGTGAAATTGGCTGTAAGGTATACATATATATGCATGTAAATGCATATTTATATTTAGTTATATTAGTTATACTAACACTATATTTATGTGTATGTAATACTTAGACATGTGTCGTACACAAATCAAGTACGTCCAGTTACAGGTATTTTTTTCTGTTTTTCTCTTGTAGATGCTTAGTGATGGGTTTACACTGAAGAAATGATATTAATATTTAATGAGTTATTCAAATTTTTGATTTGTGCATACAAAAGAAAAACAAAAAATACATTAAAATGTTTAATTTGTATTTAAACAACATTTTTTTTTTTAGAACTAACCAAATACAGTATAAGTAAGCAAACTCAGTTATGTTGAAGCAAGCAAAACAAACAAACCGAGAAGTAAATGCGAGACGCAACTATTTTAAGGCAGTTGATGAATTAGAAGCGAGGAAATTAATTTATATTTAGTTTCAATTTGTATTTTTCTGCGCTACAGTTTTATTAAAAATTTAAGGCATTTTAATTTAAATTAATTTGAAATTTTAAACAATGAAAAAATAAAATAAAAATATATGTAAAAACTTAGACATACTATAACTCCTTAAAAAAAGCGTCCGCGCAAAGGACGCTTAAATTATTA